GTGCAGTGATGTGTTTGTGAATCCTCTGTGTTATTTGTTTAACTTATCATTAAAATTAAAAAAGTTTCCAAAAGTTTTAAAAAATGCAAAGGTGTCTCCACTGTTTAAGTCTGGTGATAAAACAAATGTTATAAATTATCGCCCAATTTCTGTATTGTCTTGTGTGAGTAAAATATTTGAGTCAATTGTTTATAAATATATATATAGTAATGTTGGAAATATGTTGTCTCAACATCAACATGGCTTTGTTGGTAAAAGATCAACTACTAGTAATTTACTTAATTTTATTGAATACATACATGACTCGTTGTCTAATAACGTTCAGGTTAATGTTGTATACACAGATTTCCAAAAAGCATTTGATAAGGTTAATCACAGAATTATATTGTATAAACTTAAAGCTTTTTATGGATTTACCGATAATTTTTGTGAGTTCATATCTTCGTATTTGCATGATCGTAAACAAAGGGTATTTTATAACGGCCTCAGGGTTCAAATTTGGGACCATTAATTTTTATTTTGTTTATAAATGATATCTGTGATGTTATAAAATATTCTGAGATACGACTCTTTGCGGATGATGCCAAGATTTTTTTAAATATTTCTAAATTGTCTGATTGTAACAAATTACAAATGGATCTAAATTCAATTTTTAGATGGTCAGATAAAAATAACCTTCCACTTAATATTAATAAATGCAATACAATGAAATTTTCTTACAGGCACAATAAAATAGATTTTACTTATAGTTTAAATAATATTAATATTGATAAGGTTGAAATTGTTAAGGATCTTGGAATTTATATTGACCCAGTTTTAAAATTTGATACGCATATTGAAAATATAACTAAAAATAGTTATAAAAAAATAGGATATATTGTTAGAAATTGTAAAGAATTTAAAAACAAATCCACCTATACTCGATTATTTAATATGTATATAAGACCGCAATTAGAATATGGTTGTGTTCTTTGGGATCCTTTTTACAAAAAATATACAGCATCTATTGATAAAATACAAAGTTACTTTTATAAACTTACAAATTACTATCTTAAAATTCCCATTGAATACAATTATTTAAATTTTATAAAGTTATCTAACATTTTAACGCTAGAAAATAGAAGATATTTTGTCAAATTATGCTATTTGTACAAGGTAATTCATTATTTGGTTGATGACATTTTTTCTTTAAATAGAATAAATTTTTACGTTCCAATTTTGAAGACCAGGTTAGTCAATACATTTTTTGAAAAACAATGTTCTACAAATTATACTAAATACTCTCCCATAAATTATATGTGTATTATATATAATAATTTGCAAAACATTGTTGACATTTTTGGTGTTAATTTTTCTGTTTTTAAGAATACTTTAAAAAGATATTTTTTGGGCTTATAGTTTTTCTTATTTTGGTTTGGGTAGGAATCAAAGTTTATCAATTAAATTTTAAGATAGTTTTAGGTAACATTGTGGATATTTTTTTTTGGAGATTTTCGTTTTGTATTGGGAATACGTATTGTATTGTATTGTATTGTTTTTTTTTATTTGGTAAATAGATTTAAGTGGGAATAGAAGTTATAATACATATTATGTAAATTAGTCTTAAGTTAATTAGTTTTAAGTTAATTTTAGAAAAAGCTCTGTAATTGGGAAAATTTTCCTGTAGAGTCTTTCTTTAATAAATAAATAAATAAATAAATAGCCGTTCCCGGGTTCGCCGAGCCTATGCTATACGCTCAGTGGGGTATGGAGGAGGGACGGGAAGGTGTTGGTTTTTGGGGGACAATTACGCCGACTTAAAACTAAGTACGACGCGGAATCCCCCTAGACCAGTCGATTAGTATTACTCCAAACATTTGGGATTACTATTTGGAGTTGGGGAGTTGTTATTTCCCTGCAGGGGTGTAGTTTCCTAGTCGAGGTCTTTGTCTTGTTCGTTATTGTCATTGTCCGTGTCCTGGTCAGATAGTGCACATTGTATCACAATTAAAGTTAAATTACACCAATAGTGGCAAAATAGACTGAAAAAACTGGTAATAACCGAAATGCGTTTTAAATGTAAATGTTTGGTTGGTACCTATCTACCTACGCAGTGCATATCCGGAGATTTTAATTACGGTGAATCCATAAGAGGACATTCTTATTCTTTGGTAAGTATTATACTTCCTTTTTCTTTAAGCTTTAATACTCAATAAATACCAATATGTTAAAAGGATGTCCATAACCGACCTATATTATATATCAATAATTTACGGCAGTAGATCGGGTACTTGTAACATTAATAATATAAATACATACACACTTGATTTACTTTTTATTTTCAAGCGTAATGGTTGTTATATTAACATTTTTATTAATATTATGGAAAATTTGTACACGTGCCTTAATTTACACTAGAAGTTTGCACTAAAAGAGTAAAAGTCTAAAATTAGAACTTTTCCAAAGTAGTGTTAATTTACACTGAACAAAAGTGGGATTTTACCTAGGAAGTGTTGAAGTACAAGATTTTAGGTAAATTAACACTTTTTAATACAGTGTAAAATTACTTTATTCTCAGTGCTATAGTGTTAAATCATACTTGCTTACTTGGGGAAAATTACACTAGAAATTAACTCTAATTGTAGTGTTATACACTATTTAGTGTGGACCTGTGTGAACTCTAATTATAATTAGTGTTGCTTAAAGTTGATTTTTTTTACTGTGTACGTGAATATTTTGCATTGTACATATTTGTTATATGCAGGATTTTTTCTTAAATGTATCAACCTAGAAGGGCTGGAATTTTATAAACAAGACACAAGAGGTGTTTCAAGCATAGCATAAATAAAATTTTGGTAAAAGATTTAATTTTATGCTCCAAATACTAAAATACCTTATAAGGGGTTATTTTTAATATTTTTGTGTTAATTTTTTTAAACTGAACTTTTCATTTCTCTATTCTAAAATCTGGTAATTATCCTACTTAAACATTAATCAAAAGAATATATTTTTTTGAACAAAATTAAAAATGGTGTTTTTAAGAAATTTTCAATTTCTTTTTTCAAGAATTCCAAATTTTTTTAAGGAAAAAGTATTTTTAAAAATCCATAGAAGAAAATCTACCGTGGGTTTTCGAGTTTTTCAGGAAGAACAACTTTACCAAAAATAATGAAAATCGGAGATATTATAAACAAAATTTACTTTTCTTTTGGTTGATTTGATATGAAGTTACCCCATATTAAAAAAAGTGTTTTATCCGAAATCGGCAGTAAAGTAGTCAACAATCGGCAGTAAAGTAAAAGAAATCGGCAGTAAAGTAGAACTTTACTGCCGATTTAATACGAGTATTGTATGCAACCCATTATACATTTTAAGATGTGTCTACTGCTACTCAGCAGCAACTAAATAATATTTAAAAATAAGCACCGTCGCAGAGGTTGATTGGACCCTTTCATAAAATGTTGTTTAATGAAAATAATAAGTTCATTTTATTAATTAGATTAAAAAATCGCCGCGGCGGGCAAATACGTATATCGTAAGCGTATCGCAACAAACACTATACTTAGACACCTCCTACATTCAAATGACATTTGATTTGATCATTAATATTAATTATTAGTATTATTAAATGATTTCGGATAAAATTTATTTATTTGCATCGACTTTCGCCTCTGCAAATAGTTTCCATATTCGTGATAAAAAATACGATTTTACTGCCTTGATAAATAAATAACTATTATTGATAAATTAAAATTACACCTCCCTTTGGGACAGCCTTAAGTTGAATATATTATAAAACTGAACTAAACTTAAATAAAATTGTTTTAAAATATCAAAATGACCAAAAACTAGCAAGAATGGCATAAACTGCATTTAATCCAAATAAAATCTCTAAAAATGTCAATAAAATTAAGTATATAAAATGACAAAATATGTATAAATATGATAAATTTTTAAAGTGAAACTTATATGCTTTATCTGTATATTTTGGTATAACATTATTAAGCACACGAGTTGTGTTCAGAAAATAACGGGAATTCTTAAATTTCGCGGGTTCGGAGGGTCCGGTTGTCATAAAATTTTCTTTATTATGTTGGTATACATGCCCCCGAAGTATGATAAAAACTTTAGCTGTTTTCATTGTTTACTTTGTCTGTGGCAGCCGCTAAGGTTAGACGTGTTTTATGAGCTCGGCGATTTTTCGTTTGTTAAAAGAAATGGATCAAAGAATTTGTATCCAATTTTGCTTAAAAAATGAAATAAATTCTGTGAAATGTTAACAAAGGCCTATAGTGAGTCTGCTATAAGTAAAACAAGAGTTTACAAGTGGTATAAGAGTTTCCAAGATGGCCGTGAAGACTTTGAAGATGACGAACGCCCCGAACGCACAAGCACATTAACAACCGATAAAAACATGGAAAAAGTGGAAGAAATGGTTATAACCATCAGAGAAGTCGCTGATGATGTTGGTATATTGATTGTCTCATCCCATGAAATTTTTTCGAATGTTTTGGGTAAAAGGCGTGGCAGCAAAATTTGTTCTAAAATTGTTAAATTTTGAACAAAATTTTTGGAAAAAACAATACTGTAATGACCTTCATATTCGCCAGACATGCCTCTGTCTGACTTTTTCCTATTCCCAAAAATAAAGAGAACCTTAAAGGGCCGTCGTTTTGCAAGCATGGATGACATTAAAAGCGCATCGCTGAAAGAACTAAAGGCTATCCCAAAGATCGAGTTTTAGAAGTGTTTCGAGTATTGGAAGAAGAGCTGACACATGTGCATAATATCCAATGGGGACTATTTTGAAGGCGACAACATTAATGTAGACGAATAAATAAATATTTGTTTCAAAAAACGTAAATTCCCGATATTTTTTGAACACACCTCGTACGCTTGCTGAAGCAATGTAAACAAAAATAAGATTGGAGGAACATACAAAATTGTAATTAATTTAAATTTAGTATTTTTTGCATTGAAGGTTTAACCTAGAACTTAACTTATTAAGAAGAATTACTTACGGTTCTGTTGCCCAAATTTTTGACACGACAATTAATCATCACATTTTTTCCCACCAGTCCGGTTATGTTCGAATTTATTGAAGTGTCAAAGTAGGGTCCGGTGCCCGGAGTAGGATACTCCTGCAAGAAGTCCCGGAACTTTTTCGAACCTCCGGTATCCTCAGCAACTGAAATAAGAAAATGTTCGTCAAGATTTTATAAAAACTGTTGTGAACATAGCTGAAGAAAAAGCCTAAGTTAGCTAATTTACTAATGCACGAAGAAAAGTAAATTTTTATATTTGAGCTTTATTTTTATAACTTATTTATAAAGAAAATATTTTGTAAAATTATGAATTGTATAATAGTCATTACTACTTTTTGACGTAAAATTGATAGATCCTATTTAAGGAGTGCCAAAAGGGGAGTATCAACTTAAAAATTTCAAATTGAATTCAATGATATTTAAACTTTTGAAAATCTGTTTAAAGGTTGCTATGTAATTAAAAATTTGAGTTTTTTTAAATTTTCTTGCCGCCCCACAGTAGGCTAGAGAGCGCTTTCAGCGCGCGGAAATTTAAAATAGTATGTAGGTTAGGATGTCCCTTATTTTTATTTTTTTTACGCATACCCTCTAATTATTACTTGTTTATATACTCCCAGTAAAAATTTCAGCTCATTCTATAAACGGGAACCCGTGCCGACTTGCATCTAAACCCTCCGTTAGCCAACGTTAGGCGCGCGCGGTATTTTGTCGCGAGGTCTTCGATCGTAAGTCATTTTGTGTTTGTTATTATGTGACCCTTTTATTATAAATTAAGTAGGTACACGATTTTAGGTAAATTAACACTTTTTAATACAGTGTAAAATTTCTTTATCCTCAGTGCTATAGTGTTAAATCATACTTGCTTACTTGGGGAAAATTACAATACAAATTTACTCTAATTGTGGTGTTATAAAACAACACCATTAAGTGTGGACCTGTGTGAACTTTAATTAGTGTTGCTTAGAGTTGATTTTTTTACTGTGTATCTGTAGATAATAAAACAACTTTAAATACGATGAATTTTTATCAGGTAACCAGTCAAAGTTTAAGAATTATAGTTTCTTGCTTCGTATACGTGTTGGTAAATTACGCGTAAAGGTATTGCTTCTATTACAATGTTTATTACTAATTTATTCTTACTTTTTGACTACAATTGTATAAAATACTGTCATGCGTTATGGCTGGAACGAATAATGGTATGTTTTAATTATTATTGTAGTCACTACATCAATAAAGTAACCGCTGCATATTGTTAATGTACGTATGGATAATACTAACCCAGTCAGCATCCAATTCAGAAAGATTTCAGTATAAAGTCTTTTAAACAACTTCGTGTAGAAGTTCTAACATGACGTCTTAAACAGCTCCTTTTTATGAGCTCAGAATTCTGAGCTGTTAATGAACTCATAAATAAGAAGTCAATTTTTTTACGTATAAATGAAGATCTTTTCTTTACCTCTTTTTGAACCATTTATTTTGAGCTTACAGAGAATTCTTTTTTCTTACTTCCAATTGAAATCATACTATTAACTCTTTTAGAAGTCAACATGGAGACGTCACATTTATGACATTTTAATGCGATTACTTTCTTCTCGCCGCTGTAACTGCTTGTGTTTGATATAAGAAGCGGCGAAGTAGAATTTAGAGCATGCTCCATACCAAACGGTCTTAGACCTAGGTAAACGGCTACCCGATTCTGACGAGCTCCAAAAGAACGAAACAGGCCGTCTATCTATATCTATATCTATAAATAAGCGAATACGAGCAAATTATTAAAATGATTTTAATAAAATCAATTTAACAGATTAATAAAATTAATAAAATAAACTTGACATGTCAAAATAAGCAACGATCATTTCTTCATCTATATCCAAAACGGAAAATTCTAAAAAAGTCTTTTTTTAAGTCTATACAGTAGGTCTCTTTAAAATGTTTAATTAATTGCAATTGCGAAGTCAAAGAAAAGGGTTCTTTTTTGAGAAGTCTTGATTAGTTCAATAGGTGGCGCATTCGAAGTCATAAGAACTTCTTAAAAACTTCTTTCTGATGTTGTATTCGACGTCCAAATCATAAAATAGAGCTTATGCTGTCTGGGAAGGTTTTAAAAAATGTCACGCACTGTCACAATCTGTGATTAAGTGTTTTTAATAGCTTACCGTTCTGTCTTTCAAATAAATCTAAAATCAAGTGCTAGTAAGCGCAACAAATATGTTTTGTTTATTTTTTTCAGTTAATACATTATCCTTAACTCATACGGAGCTGTGAAAAGTAGTTTAGTTTGAAGCATTTGAATATAAAGTTAGTTTAAGATTACTTAGTGGACTTAGCATTCCAAAATTGATGTATCCTGGAAAAAACTTGATTCAAAAATATTTTTTTTTGCCAAATATAGAAAAACGCTGGAAGAGCCCAGAAGAAATATCATTGTATTAAATACTGTCATATGTTGGTTATGGAAACCATCAATTAAAAAGCTACTAATATCAATGAATAATTTTGAATTAATTACTGATAGCTATTAGTAAATATTAAAAAATTTTACCACCGCGGTAGGCTATAGAGCGCTTCCAGCGCGCGAAAATTCAAAATGACAAAATTTAGTGAATTTTGAATTATTTAATATCTGTAGCAAACCTTCAAATCTGGTGAATTTTTATCAGGTAAATAGTTTAAGAATTATAATTTCTTGCTTTGTTGGTAAATTGCGCATGAATAGTATTGCTTCTCTTACAATGTTTATTTCTAATTTATTCATAATTTTTTACCACATTGTATTCAATACTGTCATACCTTAAGCTGGGTCTCCACAAGTTGACGACATTGTCACCAACTTTTGTTGCTATTTTCATAAACATTGTCCCCACTAAAGACATATTTTTACCGACTTTATTTATCGACTAAAAAGGGAAAAGTTAGTGTTTAGCAACATGTGGAACGACGTGGATCTAATTATACTGGATCATTTAATAAATAATAAGGATTATAAAATAAAACCAAAATTTTGTTTTAAAAATATTTGTCTTATTTTTTAAATACTTTTGAATTTTAAATTTTAGACCATGTTCAACTTATTTTTGGCTTTTAAATTTTTCAATTATGTGCTTGCTCTTCAAATAGAAACAGTAGGTTTTGGGTAAAGGGTAAACTGCACTAATGTCGGCACACCGTACGAATGACCAATCGCATCTAATTCGGTGGAGACGTGTTTCGACCAATCTGTAAACATTGTGGGGGCTGCTTTTTCTTTGATGTACCGCTTCTTGACGGGAAACGAAACAAAGTCGGCGACTTCAATTTGCGACATAAAAAGTCGGCAACTTTTTTTATACAGGGTGTTATGTAATTAATGTTATATATTAAAATACTGAATACCTTTTGACATAAGGAGTAAAGGAAAAATATAAAAAAAAAGATAAAGAAAAAATATGCATTAGAAGTTTTCTTAATTTTTTGTGATACGCCACTGGTTACACACTTGGTTTATCTCTGCACACTTGTGTTCTGTGAGTACATAGATACCAACCAACAAAGTAGCTGCGCGTTGCCAGATTTAAAAAATTGTTACTAAAAATTTTCCTTGCAAAAAATAAATAAAAACTCAATAAATACAAAAGTTTTATGCCCTTAAAGCTCTAATACCCTTTTGTATTTATTTACTCATCCAGCTAATAGCTTAAGCAACGATTAGAAAATTTAGTACCTATTTAAAAAAATCCATAACTACAAAATTAATTTTTTTATCGGTTTTTTTCTTTCTGTTTACTCAGATGAAGTTGGGACCAGTTCACAGAATAAACTTTAAACATTTAATTTGTGTAAATAAATCCAAAAGCACTTCCCTTAGTTAAGATATTTACATTTTGAGCACATAACCTAAAATTTGAAAAAAATGCACTAGATTCTGTCATAAAAGTTGGCAGATTTTGTTTGAATTTACCTTCAGTACAAAAATGATATAATTAATAAAAACGCCAAATTGACAATTTGCATTGTTAATTTTGTCATTTTTGTAATTAAGCTAAATTTAAACAATGTTTGTCAACTTTTTTGACAGAATTTGGTTGTTACCAACCATAACATAATAAATTAAAATAGGCAACCAGATAAGTCTAAAGTTCCTAGTCGATCAGTGGCGTACTTTTTGGTAGGATTAAGGTTATTATAAATTATTTTTAGTCTTTGGAATTTAGAAAAAAAAAGTTTCAGGTGCTTCTTTATGGACCCTAAGGAACAACCTATTTTAATATATAACATTAATTACATAACACTCTGTATTTTTGGTAACTTTGTTGTTAACATTTGCCGGCAACATGGTCGCTGACAAATGTTGCTTTGGTGGAGACCGAGCTTAAACAAATAATGGTACATTTACAACGTTTTTGTGTTTTTGTGAGTTAGTTTTGTAATTACTACTCTCCAGTCAAGAAATAGTTGCCAAACATGCAATCAAAACTTTAAAATTCGATAGAAATATAAAATTGCAAATACCTATTCCTAGGTATTTGCAATTTTTATGTATACATAAAAAATATGTTAAAAATTTAACAACGCCATTAAAAATGATTTCAACTTTTATAATAAAACTTTTTTAGCCCAACTTTAAATAATTTAACATATTAAGCTAAAACGTAACTTGTAAAACCCTACGGTAAACTTCTAAGCAACGTGAGTTTTTTTAACATAAGAACTAAAAAACTTTTTCTTTTCGTGTATAAAAAATAAAACTTTAGAGACACATAAAATTGTAATATACTGCGAACCAAGCGAACCTATAATTTTTTAATGTTACACATGGTTTAACAAAGTTTTTTAGTGTTCTCATAAAAGTCATTGTGTTTATGTTATCGAACGATTTTGATAAAATCGCAATGTGTGCCTTTGAGACCACAAAACTTTTAGTCGACTGGAAACATCAAATTTAAATAGAATTTGCGTTTTATTCAATGAGCATAAAATATAATAATATTAAATTGGATACATTTTTAATTTTATTTCTTTTATAGTATATTATGTATCAAGTTTAATAAACGCATTTTATACACGAATTTAATTTAGTTCTTAAATTAATGAGTGTATAGAAAAGTTTATAAACGAGGTGCATACTATACTTTTTCCACGACAAATACTTATTATTATCTTAAAA